AGCTAGAAACTTCAGCTCTGCAATGGTAAATGCCACTGTCAGATGCTCCACGCTAAGGCAAAAACCAGGCCAGAAGCGCAAAAAAAATTTTTCTGCTGTCATTGTCTTCTCACACTAAAAACTGGCACTGATATAGGAAGTATACTCAGTTCTTGTAACCCCCAGGTAAGGACGCAGACATTATAGAATTATTCTTTTAATATCTCTTATTTTCAGTACTAATTCCCCACTACTTACGGGGGCTACAGTTTAAAAGTCCAGCTAACAAAGCCTTTTGTAGTATTGCTACCAAATAATCTCAGACTGCAGAAATCACTGCAGTGTAATTTAATATCCATAATATTGGATCGACCTGTTTTGGTATGAAAACATATTGTGGCATATTCTTACTTAGTGATCAATACTGCTTCTACAAAAAAAAAAAAAATCGCATTGGTGATGAAGTGGCATTGTTGACCACTCTTTGGCAAACCAATGCCTTCAAGGAAGTTTAAGCACAGAATAAGAAGTTGCTGGGGAAAGGTTAAAAGACAGGTCACGCTAATTCCTTTTTAAATGACTCTGTCTATCTAAGACAGTAGGACTCAGTGTAAACTGATACAAATATACTCAATATGAATGAAACTGGTATCACATTTAACGCAAGACTTCTGTGAGTAATTGAGATTAAAATAAACACTACTATTTATCTGGAAGAGGCGGGGGGGGAGAGGGCTAAACATTTGAGCAGCTTCCTACACCAAAAATGTGTTTTGTGCAGGACCTATACGTCAAATTATAGTTATTTGCTTTCAGCTGTTTCTAGCAGTTCTTTAGTTTTGTACTTTTCATGTGTTGGGATTTTTTTCATTGCACTTCTTTATTCCCTACTACAAGTAAGTCTCTTTAGAGCAATAAGATCTTTAAAATCCCTTCAGTGTTTAGAAATGTCAACAATTCAGTAGACGATACTTGATGAATAGGCCAAACAGAAAAACCTGCCTCAAGTTTTTATCACAAGAGAAGTAAGGTGCTTTGAAGAGTACTTGATTTGAGATTTAGAAGCCTGCTGCTATTCAGCCAGACAATCTCGAGAGCTGTTAAGTCCTGACCCATCGCATGAAAACAGGTTGGAGGGAGGGAAGAAATACCAGTAAGAAATGTATTTTGTACTCCCTGTATAATTATTTCTTCTAAATAGCATTTAAACACTTCTTTCTATAAATAAGTAAAAACCTAAGAGACCAGACAACCTTATCAGACAATCTTATTTGAATATTTTGAATGTAGTTGGAACTTGCCAGGGGAACAGCTACAGCACTGGAAAAAGATGACGCTCTAAAGGAAAAAAAAATATCTAAATGGTTCTTTCCATTTGAATAGATGGCACTGACATATTAAAGCTTCATATTTTTGACAAGAGACATAGGAAACAAAGAGGTTTTCAGCTCAAGATATGCAGAGGAAGAATATGAAACTGTTTGGTTTGCTATAATTATAAAAAATATTTTTTTCATCCTTTGCTATCACTTCCACAGTCTACAACCAATCTCAATACCAGACTACGAGTTCATTCAACATCATAAACCAATCAATTTAAGGTATCTGCACACCAGTAATAATATCAGATGAAAAGTAAGGCAAACTGTAAGTCAATCCTTGTATAGGAATATCTGTTAACTGTTTCTTGTGCTGGTGCACATGGTCTCTCACTCGACAGTACTTTAGCTTGATAACTGGTTCCCTGAATAAGACTTTGTTAACAACCTGACAGTAACGGGCCATATTATTTGGGTAAATGTCTCATCAGTATCTTCTGCCCTACTTTCTGCATCTCTGAGTTTCATACAGATACAAAAGAAAAAGCAAAACTAGGTCATTCCTGAGCTGAACAAAAGAATTTGTGTAGTGGTATAAATTACTGACCTTTCTAATAAGCCTGTCTTTCCCAGCAAACCAGGTAATCAAATCCAACTCAACTAATTAATGGTATCCTCCAATAACTGTAGAACACAACAGGAGAAATGGTTCTATGGCTTTTCTAAAGCTGTTACATTTAAGAAACACTCTTATTTCCTAAATCAGAATAAAACTGGGCGATTGTGTTCAATTACTAGTTCGCACACAGCCATTACTATTACGGTAGCTATTTTGTACTGACTGACAAACGTCTCCATACCTGAGACTCTCTGGTATCCTGTATGGTCCTTTTTACCTGAGAACATTCACCCACTAAATCATCATCTTTATAAGCTTATTAAACGTCACAGATGTAGCAATATTCAAAACAGAATGATAAGGATGGTAAGACTTTTTGAAATGAAATACATGACAGACATACAAATACAGGAAAACAACTTACTGAGCAGTACTGCTGGTGGTTTTCATGGCCACAAGACTAACAAGACAGAAAGTAGGAAATAGCTTCCACGATCATATTTCTGTATTATAGATCCAGGATGATGCACTTAAAGCACCACTATGAACAACCAGACTAGCCTACCGACTGCAGGAAATCACCATTTTTAATTCAGAAATATTCATTGCTCTGAAGTTACCAACAGGTATGTTTTGACGCATAAAAATTAATCAGTATTTTCTAACAAAAGTGCCTTTGATACTAATAATTCATCCTCTCTGTTTAGGATCATTGTTTTTAA